TTGATATTGAAGGTGAGGTAGTGACACCCTTGAAACTGTTGCTTTAAATGCGGAGGCAGCTACCCAATGCTACTGCTCACTAGTGCATTTAGGACAATTAATCATGGGAGATGCAAAGTTTTTTTATCAATGATCAATTCTCGGCAAAATGGTCTCAACAAGTGTTGATTACCGTAGGGCCACTTGGGGATGGGTGGAAGTCAGAGGTTGGCTCTGACAGCAGCTTTACAAATAAGATGCAATCAGCAGCTTTGTGTGAACTGGAGACGGTTTGATTGCAGCAACAAACCATAGATGCACACTTGGTCTACAATGCAATGCTCTGTAGAATCCACGGGTGGGGTTAAAGGTGGACTAAAGGTGGAAATTGTGCTCATAAAGTGGCTGTAAACATTCTAGTTCTAAATCAGCACGTCAATATCAACAACTTATGTAATGAACAAGAGAATGGGGGCCAAGTGCACCCAGTCCAGCCCCATCTACCAATTACACCTGTCTTCTCTGCAAAACCAAAAATGACCAAAGATTGTATGAAATGAGAAACGTCACCTGTATGTAACCAATACAGTTTTGAAAAATTGAGTTTGGCATTTTTTCTGTCACCATCTTGGTTTTTGACTGTCGCCATGAGTGGAAAGAGATCATTTCAAACAAAGCCAAATTAAACCGTTTTAGGTTATCAACATGTTACAATTAACGTTCATTATACAAAAACACACCGTATAAAGGTTGAAGTTGTAAGTTCGTAATCAGAGGTTACAGCAAGGTGGGAGATCTTTAAGAGGAATTATCATAAAGTCATGAACTTATTGCGGATCAGCAACCATAAAAAAAGGCGTCGCGTGTATAATACATGCAGGAGCAGCAAGACAGCACATTACTTGAGTGAATGCACTGGTGGAGATTTTTTCTCTAAGGCCACGGCTTAATTTGTCTATTTTGAGTTCGGTTCAGCTTTGAAGATGTATACATAACAGAGGCTCTGTTGTACATGTGGTCCAACGAGGTCTGGACAGTTTCTTTTGAGGAAAGCAAAACAGAAGTTGACCGATGAACCACAGCCAGGAAGGACCCTTAAAACAATGTCCAGTATTAAATAACACTGTTCTACAAGCAGTTTATTTTTCTTTATATATCGGCAATTATTAGAGTCAATCCATCATTCGCTTTGACCGATGAAAAGTCCAACCCATTTCCTTCAGGTTCAGTTTAACACTCAATTCAATTCAATTCAATTAATTTCATTTTATTTTGTATAGCCCAAAATCGCAAATTACAAATTTGCCTCAGAGGGCTTTACAGTCTGTACACATACGACATCCTCTGTCCCGAAACCCACCATCGGCACAGGAAAAACTTCCCAAACAATGAAAAAATCCTTCCAATAGGGAAAAAAGGGAAGAAACCTTAGGGAGAACGTCAGAGGAGGGATCCCACACCCGGGATGGACAGACTACAATGGATGCCATGTGTACAGAGGTGCAAGCTCAACAATCAACACTGAACAGTGTATTTCCTAAAAGCAGGTTACACTTGCCACATTTAAAAAAAACTGTGTTGAATCAAAATAATAAACAAATTTACTGACTTCCATTCACTGGATGCAAAAAAATGTGAACAAGATGGCGACACCAAAATTGTTGACTCTGCGCCTCAAAAGGTCAGACCACAGAACAACGGGTAGCATCACAACAATACTTATTCACCGTCTGTGGTTCGCCCTCAACACTAGACAAGGCCATGATGCTCTTACAGAAAGCTTGGTAGATCCATGGCAGCCACAGACATCATGCCATATCAAAAGTTGTCAATCCAGACTGATTTTTAGGGGTTAGGGTTAGTGCTTCACAAAAAAAACAACCATTTAGATGTTTATATTAAGTTCAGTTCAGTTTCAAAGTTCCAATGTATCCTGCTGCACGACAAGTTGACTGTGTACAACCAAACGCAGAAACCAAAAGTAAGTACACACCAGGCTAAAGGCACAGCATGGATAGTAGCCGGTTCCCACTCCTCCTCTCACACAGGCAGATGTTAATTAGTTTTTTTTTGTGCTGAAGAAAGGTCAACATTTCTAGAAATAACTCAGATAAGAGGTCCCTACTCCAGCATTGGGAAACATTAAACAAAGATTCTGAAAACCAGTAAAATTATCGCTTGCAATTCAAAATTGGCTTCAGTCGAGGGGTCTTCAATGTTTTTCAGGCCAAGGACCCCCAAACTGAATGCGAGATGGAGCATCCCCCTATTCCACGGAGTTTGGTCCGCCGTCTTTTATTTTTGAGCTTTGCGCTCTTTAGACGTGATCATACATACATACTGTTCTGTCATATCCGCATGAAAGGAGTTGTGAGTGAACCGGTGTCCAGCTTGAGAGCTGCTGTGGGAAGCTGAATGTGTGGACTGAAAGATAACGTTGTCTCCATCAATTAATCCGTTCGCTACAGCATGTTGGATTAATGTTAATGTGTATTTAAAGACAATAAATACAATTCTGATTGTGAAAACATTAAAATTTTTACATTTAAATTGTCTTATCAACCAAAAATTCCGCGACCCCCCCTGCAGTACCTTCGCAGACTCCTAGGGGTCACGGACCCCCTGTTGAGGACCTCTGCTTTAGTCTGTGCGCGCTCATATAAAATATTCTCTGGATGATGTCATTTAAATTCAAGACATTTAGTAACATTTGAAGCTGCTGCTGCAAGCTACTTTCTTTGGAAAAGAGTAGGCAATATGTGCAGGTATAGCTGGAGAATTAAAAAAGGACTTATATGGTTCAAATGGCGACAATCTTGAAGGTTTCAAGAGGTTAAGTTATTTGTTTTGCTGTGCTGTGTGTAAGTTTCACTCCTAGCACTGCGTGGAACACGCCTGAAGGCTGGCTGCAGGGGGGATTCAAACCCTGACCCTTCCGGTGCAGTCTCCTCCTGTTAATCCACACTGTATCAGGCCCGATCTTTGCATTTCACGTTAGTACTTTCACTCACCTACACACACACACACACACACACCTTCTTTCCTCTCTGTGTCACACACTGTCGTCCAAACAAGCTAAGTGTTCGGGGAACATCCACGACAGCAGGAAGCCTACGGAACCAGCTTATGCTGCATCACCACATACATATGCATGGCACAACATGTTTACAGGCACACACATGTTATGTCAATTTGATCATTTCCCCGGCGTAGATGTGCATCACAGATGTCCAAACTTACAGGACCAGTCAAAACATTTTCTCATTTAATTCAATGAGAAAGTGTGTCCAGAATTTGCCTTCTGTATTCCGTGTTGCATCAAAGTGGAAACATTACAAAAAGACTTGTGTGTAGCATAAGTGTATATATATAATCATGTTTCTCCGTTGAAAGGGATCATTTGTTGGAGCCGAAAAAAGCAACATGACGGCTTGCCTTGGCAACGCTGTCTAACAGGACTGATGAATAGAAGAGGCAAAAAAAACAAGGCCAGGAAACAATGGAAGACATTTCTGTCGGTGAAAGGAGAGTCAGACACAGCAGACACTCTAACAGACGGTAGAGACGATGGTGGTTTTACTGATTACACAGAAGGTGAAGACAGACGCACCAGCCGATGTCCCGGTTCCTTTTGTCTCCTGCCTGGTAAAGCTGCGCCGGAATGACAGAGCATCCACAAAACACCTCACCTAATGGTTTCCACTTCTCTCCCAGCGCGAATCCCATCAGTCGGCGCTCCTGAGGCAATGCCAAGTAAATGCATGGTAAACACAGCCGGCCGGATTGGCCTAATTATTTACAGAAGCTGCGACCTGCAGGGCAACGCCATTTATCTCGTGAGAGCGCTGGGAAAACACTTCTTTTTTGTAATGGTCAGAGGGGGCCATGTGGGGGTCGCTTTCTCGGCCTTGATGAGACACATAACTCTTCATGTTGAGGCGCAGTGACTCTCTTTCTCTTCAATCTGTATCTGCGGAGGCCCTGCCCTCACTTTAAACCACTACAGACTGGTCACGGATGACATCTCTTGTCCGCTTTCAGCAGTGCGGCCTGTCTTTGCTGGAGCATCAGCTGCTTCAGGTGCGCCAGAGCAGAGCGGAGAGGAGAATGGGAGGGTGGGAGGTCTGGAGCTGGGGACCATGGAAGCAACAAGCGGAATATTGCCTTCACCTTGTGAGTCGCCAGGTGTTTATAAAGCTCAGTGTGTGGATGGATTTTGTCTTGTGCGAGACGCTGGTGTGCAAATGTACAGGCGTGTATAGTGAAGAACAACACGCTTTTTTTCTGTTATCTGAGTCACAGAGATGAAAGCAGCAAATATTCAATAGAAACAGAAATGGCTGCTTCCAAAGGATTTTCCAGAAAAAAAGAAAAGACATTCAGTCTGCTACAAGATGCAAGTTTATAATCAGTTTGTTGCTTTCAAAAAATGAATATTATCCAGGCAGCCAGAAATAAAATGCCCTTTTATCATGATACTAATATTAATAACACTTGCTTTTACTAAAATTAAGCACATTGGTTTAGGGCCAAATTCTTTGTTTGGATTAGGAAACAGTTCCTAATATATATATATATAAAAATAAAACTGGCATGTTGTCAAAATATTATAATCTTATAACTTGTTGAGAGTCACAAATTTGTAGTTGTATCACAAGGTTACTGTTTTCAAATACCCAAAATCCAAATATATACACTTTACTCTCAGGCAAAAAAACTAAAAACAACACATTCGGTGATCCAAACAGTTATATGGATTTTCTGTCAGTCGACTAATTGCATGAATTTCATCTGGATCCAAACACCTGTGGCGCCGCGCGAGCCTTTTAAATCAGCTTTTGTTCATGTTGGTGAGAAATGAATCTGTAGTGAAGCGGAACGCAGACAAAGTCTCCTTTATACGCCTGATTAAAGCCTACACATCTTAACGTGCCTCCTGCTTGCGAAGTACATGATATACTTTATATTCACAGACATCTGACCGCACATCTCACCAACCAAACCCGCCACAAGTCACCCACCTGTACGACGCTCTTAATGGTGACGGGAGACACGATGGTGGTGCAGATCTTCTCGCCTTTACGCACCGCCTGGCCCATGACGAAGAGCATCGGCACGGCGAGCGCGAAGGACGCGAGCCACATGGCGCTGATGAGCTTCTTGGTGCGGCTGCGGGACATGATGCTCTTGGCTTTGAACGGGTGGCAGATGGCCATGTAGCGCTCCACGCTCAGGCTGGCGATGTTGAGCGCGGTGGCGTACGAGCAGCTGTCCCGCAGGAAGTAGTACCCGCGGCACGCCGCGTCGCCAAACGCCCACGGGTAGTGGATCCAGATGAAGTTGTAGAGCTCGATGGGCATGGAGAGCACGAGGATCAGCAGGTCGGACACGGCCAGGCTGGCCAGGTGGTAGTGCACTGTGCTCTGGAGGTTCTGCAGCGTCTTCTTGGTCAGCAGAGTGTACAGCGTGATGGAGTTCCCCACGGAGCCCACGGCGAACAGGACGGTGTAGATGATGGTGACCATCACCTTGGAGTAAACATTCGTGTTGACCTCCAAGTCCTCCTCGTCGGTGTTGGAAGTTGTGTTTTCAAATGGAAACAACGAGTTGTTGCCGAAGAGCCTGTGCGCCAGCGCGCCGAGCTCGTGCCCGGCGCGCGTGAGGTTTAAATCCATCACAGTTCTATTTGTGAAAACATTGAAACAGAAAGGATGCCAGTTTAAACGGAACGGCCACCTGTTTGACTCTCACTTCTAGCCAGAGTGACCTGGGTTTAGTCTGTGAGGGTCGGAGGACAGCAGCGTCTTTATAAGAGGCAGGACACCGGGGCGCTCTCGCTATGGGATCGGCTCCGATGACGCACATCAATTCAATGTCTCTCGCTGTTAACATTCGTCTCAGCTTGGAGAACAAAAGTAACACGCCGAAGCCTATATACTTTTTTTGATTTTTTTTTTTTAATGGCGGGGGGGGGGGGGGGGGGATTCTGTGTCATTGTGATGCGAGCTGCCGTTAAGACCGTTCTTCTTCAGTGCTGATGACGAGGCCTCAGGGGGAGAAGAATCATCACAGGACGCGGAGGAGAGGAAATGGTACTCTGATGCAAAGCGGGACCCTCCTCTGACACACGCACACGGTGTGTCAGACACAATGCACTCCCAAGGAAACAATACCAATATGTTTATTGAGAAAAATACAGATTATTTGAAGACTGCTGTCAATATGCCACCTCAATGAATGCCTCTTATTTTATTTTAATTTGTTTCCGAATGTATTCATCAGCACGGGAGCTATGTTTGGATCACAAAATGACTGAAGAACTAAAAAAAAAAGCCAAACACCTCCACATTTCCGAAGCCCATCTTTGGAATTTCTGCTCAGAAAAAAAAACATATTCAATGACTGATCAATGATCCAAACGGTTACAGCTTATTATTAGTTGACTAATTGTGCAAAGGGACAGTTTTTTTAGCTTCACGCGCACATCCACTCGAGAAAACCTCCCATCTTCAGCACCCCGAAGCCTTGTAATTTTTGCCCTTCATTTTAGATTTAACCAAAGCAACACACTGTAACTCCAACATGCACTGAATATGCAGAGCACTCGTTGGTTGCATGCATTTGTCAATTGTTTAACTTTTTGTTACAGCTGTGATGGCACATGTTTACACTCAAGCAAGAGTATGCAGAGGACCACACGTTTGTGAACATCATGATTCATCCACTTATCATCACACGCATATTTCTATCTTTTTATTTATCCATTTCTTTATTTCTGGATCGTGGAACACATATGTCTCACTTCCAACTCTTAACAAAACCTTTTCAAATCTATCCTCAAAAGGCAACATTTTTTGTAGAGTCTTTACTCTACAGCCATCATTTCAGTGCTATTACGTCACTTGTAGCCCACAATTCATATGGCCTAAAAATGAAAAACCCTTACCACCAGGTGGTAAATGTTTTTCATTTTTTGGGGAGTTCTTTGTGCTGATGTGTGGGTTTTGGGACAGAGGATGGCGTATGTGTACAGACTGTAAAGCCCTCCGTGGTAAATTTGCGATTTTGGACTATACAAAATAAAATTAATTGTATTGAATGTGGAAAAACAAGTATGTGCTAAGCTGCTGGAAGAAGGCTTGCGGAAGGTCCGCAGTAAACATATTGTCCACATATTTGTGCAACAAACCTCAACTTGGTTTGCAAGTGACAGAAGCAGCAATGTAAGATTGCTGAATGTGTCACACATACGCCCACATCATAGTTTATTTTTCATCTTCCCTGCGTGTTCACTAACTCTCCTGTCATTTCAGATCCTCCCACCTCGTCACCTGATTTCCTGCACCTGGTTCTTTTCACCCTCACCTGTGGTGCCTTCCCTCATCAGTCACTCACTATTTAAGCCCGTCACATTCTATTGCTCACTGCCAGATCGTCTTGTGTGCATGCCAAGTTTTCCCGTCCTGACCTAGCCTGCCTTCTCTTGACCACGAACTCTTCGCCTGCGCCCTTTCTGGATTTGTTTGGCTGTCGGATTGCCATCCTGTTTCTGAACCCTGCCTGTCCCCGTTTAGGGATTTCCTGCCTGCCCCTCTGGATTTGTTTGCCCATTGGACTGCTATCCCAGGTCTTTGATCACGCCACACCCGGGAGGGAAGCGGCCCCGGGTCTGTTTGAACTGCAGCAGGGAGGGCCATCTGTATCCGACTATTCTATTGAATTTTGCACCATGGCAGCGGAGAGTGACTGGAACCACGCCTCTCTTCTCGATGCCTTCTACTGGGCCGCATGTCCAGTAAAAGACAAGGCTCACCAGTCAACCAGAGGGCCAAAACTTTGAAATGCCCTCTCGACCACAATCGACCACTAATCCATGCACAGATGTTTTGTCAGGGGAGGAGCCACCCTGTTGCTGTTCTCATTGATTCTGGTGCAGATTCTAACCTTCTCGACAGGGATCTGGCTGCAAAGATGGGGATTGGGCAGGTGGCCCTGGACAGACTCATCTGGGCAACGGCATTGGTCGTCTACTCTGCAGGGTTACTCATCAGACCACCCCCCTGCGCATAGAGATGGCAGGTAACCACAGTGAAACACTCACCTTCCACATACTTCATGCACCTCATCAACCGGTCATACTGGGATTTTCATGGTTTTAGGGTGGAGTCTTCATTGTCACGCAGTTTGTCTAAAGTCTCTTGCATCTCGTAGTTTTTATGATTGTGCAATAGACCTCCTTGCGGGCACATCGCCTCTCCAAGGCAGACTATTTTCCCTGTCTGCTCCAGAGACAAGGACGATGGAGACTTTTGTATTAACGACTCCTTGGCTGCTGGACTGATTAGACCGTCGTCATCTTTTTTGTGAGTAAGAAGGACAAAACCCTGCGACCATGCATTGACTACAGAGGACTCTATAACATCACCATCAAGAACAGGTACCCACTCCCACTTATCTCCTCTGCGTTTGAGTTGCTAGAAGGGGGTACAATCTTCTCAAAACTGGATCTCGGGAATGCGTACCTTTGGTCAGGATTAGGAAGGGGGATGAGTGGAAGACGGCCTTCAATACTCCCAGTGGACATTATGAGTATCTGGTCATGCCATTGGGTCTCACCAATTCCCTTGCTGTTTTTCAGGGGCTAGTAAATTATGTTCTTCGGGATCTGCTTAATGTTTTTGTCTATCTGGATGACATTTTGATTTTTTTCCAAGTCGACACAGGAGCACGTGATGCATGTACGGCAAGTCCTCAATAGACTTCTAGAGAACCACCTCTACGTAAAAGCTGAAAAGTGCATGTTCCACACCTTGGAGGTATTGTTTCTGGGCTTCATAGTCAATGCCGGCAGTGTCCAGATGGACCCTGCAAAGACCAGAGCAGTGGCGGACTGGCCTCAACCCTCCACACTCAAGGAACTGCAGAGTTTTTTGGGCTTTGCAAATTTCTGACCACAACAATTTAGAATATATTCACTCTGCCAAGCGGTTGAACTCCCGCCAAGCAAGCTCCAAATCTTTTTTTTTTTTTTCTTTTTTTTTTTTTTCTTTTCTTAACAGTTTTGAGTTTACCTTGTCCTACCGTCCCGGCACTGGTCAGTTCCAGTCAATGAGCTGCCCTCAAAGTCCAGAAAACATTCTCTCCCCTAAGTGTGTTATTGGGACAGTGACCGGGGAAGTGGAGAGAGAGGTAAAATGCTCCCATGTGGAGCACCCTGCCCCAGTGCCTGTCCCGATAACCGTCTGTTTGTCCCGGCAAATCTCCGTTCTCAGGTCCTCTAGTGGGGCCATTACTCCCGCCTGGCTTGTCACCCTGGGGTTACCCGCACGCTAGCTCTGCTCAGGCAACGGTTCTGTTGCTCACTGCCAGATTGTCTTGTGCATGCCAAGTTTTCCAGCGTTTTTCTGATTACTGATATCCTGACCTAGCCTGCCTTCTCTTGACCACGAGAAATGGCCTGCGCCATTTGTGGATTTGTTTGGCTGTCGGATTGCCATCCTGTTTCTGAACCCTGCTTGTCCCCGTTTACGGATTTCCTGCCTGCCCCTCTGGATTTGTTTGCCCATTGGACTGCTATCCCGGTTTTGACCCTGCCTGTACCAGTAAAGAACTTTTGATTGGATTCTGCCTAGGAGTTGTGCTTTTGGGTCCCTATACCTGTAACCCTTACAGAATGGGGCGACTGTGGGAGAGTGGAGAGCACGGTGGTCCTCCAATCACAGGATTGGTAGTTCAATCCCTGGTTCTTATGACCCGCATGCCGATGTATTCTTTGGCAAGACACTTAACCCAACGTTGCTCCTGTAGCTGTGTGAATGCTGCAATGCTACTGATGGGCAGGTGGCACTGTTAATGGTAGCTGTCATCAGTATGAATGCGTTGAGTAAATACAGCAACACTAGTATTGCTACTCACGTCACAATTACCCTTTGAGCAAGGTTCAGAAACGCATGTCCTCTCCAAGTTACTCAGTAAGTGCGGTTGTTGACTCGTATAAGTGAAAGGGATAGAGATAAAATGGATTACAGAGAACACAGAATGGGTCATGTCATCTATCTTTATTACAAAATAAATAACAGTGGCTTTGTAGAAGGTGCAGTGGGACTGAGGGGATCAAGAATGGAAAAGATGGAGACGAGAGAATGAGGATTGAATTCTGGTTTGGTCCAACAAGCTTTTGGCTGCAGAAAAAAGAGGGCCACCACCAGCGGTGTCTGGAGTCCAGGGCAGAATCTGCCTGAGCAGAACTCACGTGCACAGCCCCTTGATTATCCCGGTTTAAGAGTCCAATTGCCAAGATTGTGCACTATTTCAATGTTATACTGGTGTAATAAATGTTTGTCAAATTCGGACAAGAAGTCCGACAAGTGCGCCACAGCCCTGTTTTTATGTGAAATGGCCAAACGGCTGCTCATTTTCAATCAATAGCTGCATAAGCCATATCCACTTGACATTTCAGTATTTTAAAAGGTTTCACTGCTACATGAATGATTTACCATTTTGGGTCGATTCTTCTAAAGAAAGGACTGCTTCGGCAATCAGCACAGCTCAGTGTGCTTGGAATACTTTGCTTCATATGGCCCGTGTGGTGCACAGGAATCACCCACAGGCAGTTAGCTATTGATTCAATATTGGAATTGGAATAGACAGACTAGTTGCAATGTAGAGGATCTTAACTAGCGTTCTAAACATCAATACAGGGAAAAGAACAATTAACTGCCTGGTGTTAATAAATATCTAGTAAATGGCTATTAGTAACCTTTTACATAAGAGAAATGACTATACAGTTAAATTACATTT